GGACGAATTTTTTCGAAGCACAGCAGGCTTTGATTGCTTTTCCGCGCAACACGCAAATATTTTCCCAATCAAAAATCCTCCCCTCTGTGGAGATGAAATCGTAAAAGCCTTTGGCACTCTGCTCTGGCCGGATGATTTGCACCGAAATTCGAGGCCGTCTCCGTTTTCATGCTAACAACCACGGTCTGCGTGATGAATACGAAATGAGACGAGAGCGCCTTGCAAGATGCTGTCCGGACGGGAAAGCGGCGGACGACGGGTCCATTTGGACAAAAAGCGCTCATGCATTAAGCCAATAACACCACAGCCGCCCCCGTGCCGCCCCAAATCCATCCACCCGTCCATCGCTCACCAGCACGTCGGCGGCTCCAGTTAATTACGGCCGCGTTTTTGCGTCGAAATGCGCGCGTAATGGATATTCTCGCCGAGAAAATTGCTTCAGCCTCGCACCTACGCTAAATTTGCAAAAAGCGGTCGCCTGTCAACTTTGTCAAAGTGAAGTTTTGGTCCGTTCGAACAAAATAACACCATTTTCCAACGTCAACTCACATTTTTTTCTGCAATGTATCCTCCGAGGATTATTTAATTAAGCATCATCATTTTTATTTTTGCTTGAATCAGAATAATTTTTAACTTCTTCTTCGCTTCCAAATTAAAAAAGGGACTTTATTTTGAATGACTTGGTTTCCCTTTGTATTAAATTCTTGATATTCACTCATTGTCAGATCTCGGAGGTTTTAGCAAAATTCTTTCTAGTGGTGGTGCCGTTTTGTCCAACAATTCCTTTTTATTCTAAAATAAATTGTTTTCAACTATTGAATGTAACAATTTGCACAAATAAACAACAATGATAAAAAAGAACGCAAATCTGACGCAAATAATTCCATTTTTTTAGAAGAAAAATTCAACAATGTCCACAAATTTTGAACATATCACTAGGTCCTGCGTTTGTATGATTTCTCGATGTTTTTCAAATTAAATTACATAAAAACTTCTGCTTTGAGCCTTTTTATTACATTCCAATTTTTTTCGGCAAATAATGTTGGGAATCCCACAAGTTTAATCCTTGAGTTTTCACTTTCCTTTGGCGAAAATCAGACAAACAAGCGCGTATTTATTTTGCGGTTCCCTCGACGCGCGCCATCATCACGTGAATGGACTCTCTGGAGGCCAACGCGCGTCCGACGAGGAAACCGCAAACTTTTAGCGGAGCGGAAAAGGGACAAAACAATAATGGATGCGCACCGCATCGATTTTCGATGTCTCCGAGCAGAAAGGAGTCGGGAAAAATATCCGTGCGCGACTTTTTGTTTTGCTTCCGACGCGCGTCCACCGCCCGCGCGACATGTGCCCGATTACAAATGAGCATCGGGTCGGTCTCGCATGCTGTATCCGCCTATGTGCCTATAGAGACTTGAAAGAGAGAGAGAGACGTGTGTGCGCAGTGCATCTGCATTTTATTAAAATCGATTTTATCTGGACATTTCGAATGCATTTAAATAGGATTGCTGAACCATTCAAATGCATCGTCGGGCAGGAAAATCCATCCAAAAATATTTAAAAACTTAATAAAAAAAACATGCTATTAATTATAAGGTTTATTTTTATATTTCAAATATTTATCATCAATATTTAATTAATTTATTTCACTGCATATCATTATTTTTAATTAATTACTTTCAAGATATGTTGTCCTTAATTTTTTATTGATTTTCACATTTTCTATAATTTTCCATCTCAGTATAATTTTTTAATTTATATCAATTAAATTAATTCAAAATCCGCCACTATTAGATGATTAAAAAGAAAGGCAGATCAAAAATTCTTTTCAAAAATTGAAGAAAAACTGATTAGTTTTGAGATTTAACAAATTTTTATCAAGGCGTTTCCGTAACTATTAAAACTTGTGTAAAGCTTCTTTGCTTGAACATAAATTTTACCAATTATACATTTAAACCATTATTTTCAAAATTTTATTCAAAACAATTAGATTATTTTGTTTATTTTAGAAATTGTTGTTCTTACGAATAGTAAAATGCAACTGCGTTCATTTTTCCTCTGCCTCTCCGCACCGCATCGTGTCGTCACAAATCAATTGTTTTTATCAAAGGTGCGAAGGGAATCTGTCCATTTACAAAAGAGAAACAACAGAGCGGCAATAAAAACGACAAGCGTATGGGAGGCAATCGAGGGCCGGCAGGGGCGAGCGATAAAAATTCAATCGGAAGCCGAAAATACGAAAATACGGGGCTCCTGCTCCGGGGATGCCGCTGGAATTCGGTTTTATTGGTCGCCGCGATGGTCAATCTGCAGATGATCTGGGCAATTGTGTGCTGCGTTGAGCCGCCCGCCGCCGTTTGGCCCATTTCCAGCCGAGAGCAGGAAGAAACTGTAGTAAAAGAGAGAGATCGAGCTGCAGCGAGCGGAGCTGCTCAACCGCCGCCGCCTCGACTTCTCTTTTGGCTGCTCCTCCCGTTATTGATTGCGCAAATTTTATTTCGGTAAAAGCAAAAAGCTGCCAGCCAACCTAGAGAAAATCCACTTTAAGGGCTTTTGTGCATACGAAAAATAAAAATAAATTTGAAAAGTATTTTCGCTAAAAAGGAAGTAAATCATCAACAAACGTAGAGATTTAATTTCAACATAATTTTTTAAGAAATGTCAATTTGATTAAAATCAGCTTGAATTATTTCTTTGAATTGGGAATTTTTTAAATTGACTTTGAATTCAAATCCAAATATATTGAATGATTTGCCATTTTTGAAAAATATATTTAGTTAATTAATTTGTTATTTTAAGAAACGTGGATTTGTCTAATATGAATGAACTTTTCTGTGCCAAATTTACAAACTATAAATATATTTTAAAGATCAACTCCGGTCATTTGTATTGCTCTTTATTCTGAAAGATTGCTAAATTTCGAGTATATCTTGTGAGAACACTATTTGAAAATTCCAAACCGTTGCGTCTCGGTCTCAATCAAAAGAAAACCTAAATACGAGTGATTCGCGCGAAAAACGTGTTAGAATTGAGAAGCCAATCAGATCCATCAGTTTGTTCCAAAAACTACAGAATTTGGTCACATTGGCGCTGCGATCGCTGATTTTGCCACTAATGCCCCACGGCGCTGCAGAAAACTATAGGTTTTCTTTTGATTGAGACGCAACGGTATGGAATTTTCAAATGATGTTTTCAAAAGATATACTCGAAATTTAGCAATGTTTAAGAATAAAGAGCAATACGAATGACCGGAGTGATCTTTAAGTAAAAAAATCACTTTGCTTTTTTACCTATTAAAAAATTTATCAAATAAATAAAAACACATCAACAACAGCTTTGTGCCGGTTAAAAATAATTTAAAAAACTTTCTAAGCGATAACAATTATTTATCCAGGGCAATTTTCTACCTTGGATTTTCCACTTTCAACTTTCGTAACAACTGCGGAAACATTTTTACTTCTCGCTGCAACTGCACCGTGATTTTAATCCGAGGATTCCCGCAGCCGATATCTCTCCCAGTTTATACTTTTATTTGTTTTCCCACCATATATGTTGGCACAGCGAAATAAGAAAGTCGTTTGGGTCCGGGCGCTGCATGATTTATTGCTGCGCCATCGCGAGGGGCCGCATTTCTCTCTCGGGCGGGCCGAATTGGCTTGGGCGTGCGTGGCCATCAGATGGGCGCAGAGACGTCCTGGCGCTTCAAGTGTGTGACATGTTTAACATGCAGATTACACACGGCCGAGTGGGTGGCTTGCTCGAGAGGCTTTCCGCTGGAGTGCGCGTCTGATGCAGCTGATCGATTCTCACTCGCACACCCTCTCTGTCCGAAGCAGCCCTCGCGTGTATCATTGCGAAAAGTGGCACCCTAATTGTATTTGTTTTTATTGCTCAAGTCCATATAAAAGCAACAAGGAGGCTATGACATTTACAACACTGAAAAAAATTTACTGACAATGTAAATTGTGAATTAATAATATTAAATCTTCTAATTTAATTGAGGTGCGATTTTATAAAATTTTAATCAGGCCAATTTTAAGAAGGGAAAAATTGCCAGAAAGTAAGATGAAATTTAAATTTTTTAATTCAATTCTCCCATTAAATTAAATTTTCCTCATGACATCTTCTTGGAATAGAATCTAAAAACTATGTAATTAATTAAAAAAAAAAAAGCGTCAAAATTAATTCCTGAAGCAATAGCAGAACATTTCAATCACCAGTTTTCACGAATTTAGAAATTATTCTCATCTCTAATTGTAAATAGAAAAAAAGGGAAAAAATAACATTCCTTAGGCTTATTAAAAAATTTAATGCAAATTTCCATCTTAAGAGTAAATAGAACTATAAAATAAATATCAAATTATGGAAATGAAGAGATCGGGCTTTTCCTCGTTGCGAAAATTGTTTTTATTCAAAAATAAATGGCAAGTATGAGCATGAAAAATAGAAAGAAAAAAATCATAAAATTTGAACTAAAACACAATTTTTATGTTAAAATGTATTTTTTCTTTCAATTTTGCGGATTTTTCTTGCTCATGAAAATGACCGAAACTGGCAGAGCCGTTTTGTTTTTTAATTAAAAATTTTATTTTGCTACGAGGAAAAGCTCGATCTCTTCATTTCCTTGAGTGTCAATTTCTTCAAACAATATCAAATTATTTCCACATTAACTTTTCAGATATTTTCGACTGCAAATACCTGAAAGCAATTTAATTAAATCATTTTTACCTCAGCCCCTCCGTTTGGTTCGCACACAAGAGAAATTTTGAAATATTATCATCGGATGAAAATTAATTAAAATTAAGGGATTAAGTAAAGCGCAATGATTTAATTAAAGGACGCGTCCAAAGTGACGCATATGAGAGCCACGCGTCGTCCCAAAGGTGTGATTTAACGGTGGTGGTGCAAACAGGGGTGGGAATCGGTAGCAGTTTAACCCTTTGTTCTCTCTCTCTGTGTGTGTGTCTTATATGTATGTGTATGTTGTTGGCGACCTTTAGGGGTGGGTCGTCGGCTCGCAACGGCACCGCTGCCGCCGACGCCGGTCCGCACGCTAACAATCCCCACCCAATAGCTCAGCCAAGGAGAGGTCTCAAAACACGCCTGCTCCAGTTCAACTCGAACAATGGGTCAGTACCGACGCCGAGACAAGAAAAAGTCAAATCGATGTGCCTTCTTGACGCGTGTCCAAAGCTTAAGAACGAAACGAAATTCAATTTAAAGTGAAATTTTATTACTTCGAAATTTTTTGCCCCAAAACTATGAAAAATACTCTCGATGAGAAAAAAAAAACAATTACAAATTAAAGATCCTCTCCAATCATTTGTTTTGTTCTCTATTCTGAAAGATTGATAAATTTCGAGCATATCTTGTGAAAACACTGTGTGAAAATTCCAAACCGTTACTTTGAAATCAAAAGAAAACCTAAATACCGAGTGATTCGCGCGAAAAACATGTGAGAATTGAGTTTCCAATCAGATCCATCAGTTAAGTCCAAAAACTGCAAGATTTGGTCACATTGGCGCTGCGATCGCTGATTTTGCCACTAATGCCTCACGGTGCTGTGCAGAAAACTTGGCAAAATCAGCGATCGCAGCGCCAATGTGACCAAATTCTGTAGTTTTTGGAAGAAACTGATGGATCTGATTGGCTACTCAATTCTCACACGTTTTTCGCGCGAATCTCTCGTATTTAGGTTTGCTTTTGATTGAGACGCAACGGTTTGGAATTTTCAATTAGTTTTTTCACAAGATATACTCAAAATTTAGCTATCTTTCAGAATAGAGAGCAATAAAAATGACCGGAGAGGATCTTTAATGGTTTTCTTTTTACCTTTCCTTTGAGAAGAAAATTAAGTCTAAAAAAAAATTTGCATATTCTTTGAACCTTTCTCAAAAGTTCAGACTTTCTCGTTCCCTCTCATCTCTCCGTTGAGAAATAATCACGCGCCGTTATTAGCTAATCCAAAGTTTGGCTGGCGCGCGCGTTGATGATTTCGCTTTTGTCTTCACCGAAAACTTTCGCCATCAGAGGCTGCTCTCGCGTGTACATAGCAAAGCAGCTTTATATTTTTCATCTCACTCAGAAGTCGATCGAAACTCGGCGCTTTGTTTTCTGTGATCCTCTCGTGTGGCTGCTCTGTATGGGTTTGGAGGCTGTTCGTTTGCGAACCGAAATTTTCTCGTTAGTTAAAGAAAACATAAAGACACACACGTGTCGGTGTTGTCGCAACTCCTTTCGCACAGAGAGGGCTGCGTCGGGGCCAAAGTTTTCGAACAGCCTTTGAAAAATCCATATTGCGCGAGAGATCACTGTTCGAAAGCTTTGGATTCGCGCCATCGCTATTTTTGCTCTCCTTTTAATTAATTTATTTTATAATTAATTTTCTCTGCTTGATTTAACAAATTTCAATTCTTGTTAATTTGCTTTATTTTTATTTTCTTGAAATATGATTTTTCTTCATAATATTTTTCTGATGTTTAGTTGCAGTTTTCCTCTAATAGAAAAATCTAGTTTATTCATCATCAGACTAATACTGGTTTTCAATTCGCTGTTGCAGATACATTTTTACAATTGTTAGCTACTTGATAGGAGTTTTTATATTCGCTACCATTGTTGGTAAGTATTACTCAATTTTCTCTTTTTCTTTCCTTATCCACGACGGCGGATCGAATTGGCCGGTGTGGCGGAAATTAAGTTATCCAACTAGGCTCACCAGCCGTAAAACACGCGCAGACCGCTTGATTTACGGCCCGGCGACGAAAGCCGAGTGACCGCGCCGCTTTGAAATCGAGTTAGCGAACGCAGAGGAAAATAAAAGTCGGCTAACTGAAAAATTTCACCTCTATAAAATCATAAACTAGAAAACTTTCCTTGGTTTCTGCCAAAAAATGTAAACATTATTTATGAATAATTTACTAAATAAAAGAAAATCTCACATTTGATTATTTGTGTTTTAGGCCAAGTTGGTAATGTGATAACAAATCGCAACGCAAATAGACTGGAATTCGAACGACTGCTTGTAAGTGTCTTTCGAGCTTTGTCTCGTCGGAACAATGATAATTGTTTTGCCCTCTCAGGACGGAGCTAAGACATACATGCGCCATCACAAAGTGCCGGGGGACATGAAGAGACGCGTGCTCAGGTGGTACGACTACTCGTGGTCCAGGTGAGTTCGCCAAGAGCGCGCCCCTTTAACTCGGCCTCTCCCTCGATTCTGACGGGGGTGCCGCGCACTCACTCCAATTGCCGCTGCCGCTTTTATTTTTCGCCCGCCGCGCGTATTGTGCCGCTATTTGCAATTCTGCCGATTCAAAAGCATTCAAAAGATACCCAGCTTTTGACTAAACTGGCAACAGAAATTATTTTCATCTCTCATGTATACTTTCAATAAGGGAAAAAATTTATAATTTTCTTTGTCCAATTAATTTTCTCTATTTTTAAGGTAATTTTTATTCTCAATTATAGTAAAAAGAAAATCAGACTTTTCTTTATTTTTTTTTAAATTTCATCAATTTTAAATTTACAGTAAAATTAACTGAGAAAGTTTTCTAGATTTTCATTAGATTTCCTCTTTAATTTGAATTTGTTTCGAAATTAAGAGAATTATTTGGTCATATGCTAAAATTTCCGCAGGGGGAGAATACAGGGTGGCGGCGACATCAACACGGCGCTCGGCCTGCTGCCCGACAAGTTGAAGACGGAACTCGCTCTTCACGTAAACCTTAGTGTGCTCAAAAAAGTGAGTGCCACTTCTTTTTTCACATTCATATCGAACCATAAATCAACCCCTTTCCGTCGTAAATTTCAAGGTGACCATTTTCCAAGAGTGCCAACCCGAATTTTTACATGATCTCGTGCTCAAAATGAAAGCGTACATCTTCACGCCGGGCGACTTGATCTGCCGCAAAGGTGAGGTGGCCCGCGAGATGTTCATCATCGCCGACGGCATCCTCGAGGTGATCAGGTCCGCACTCTCTTTTCTTTTTCTTTTATTCAGCCGCTAACTTTGGGCCAAATTGACAGCGAAACGGGCAGGGTGCTGACCACCATGAAAGCTGGAGACTTCTTCGGCGAAATCGGCATCCTCAACTTGGATGGCCTGAATAAGTGAGTTGAAAAGTTGGTTATTTGTCTGGAAATTAATTTTACATTACTTGGAAATTTCTTCTCGGCGTCGTCGTTTCTCATTCAATTCTTGAACATTATTTTTTTGCCTCTTGATGGTAATAAAACCAAAGTTTGTCGGAACTCTTATTCGTTTGGCTCACAGAGTCAGTCAGCGCCTCATCCACATCGAAAATCAATAATTGAACGGAAAATTTCACGTTGCCAAAGTTTCCTTTTTTTTTGCTTTTGACTATCTTTACTCGTCTCGCTTGACTTGAAATGCGCGTGTCTCCTTTGGAATTTCTGATTAAGTTGCACTTTCCGATTAGTCCCTCTCCTCTCCCGTGAAACGTGAAACCGCGCGTTCCGGTGTCTGTCAATATGCTCTAATGGAAAACACACATCGATCCGTTGCGAATACAAACTCGCAGTGGTTCCGTATTGCAAAATTGGCTCCGGCCCAAGTATTATGTTGAAGTTTAAATCTTTTCGTATTTCACATTTTCCACTCCTCACACAAATTATGAAATTCAATTTCAGGCGAACGGCGGACGTGCGATCAGTTGGCTACTCGGAATTGTTCAGCCTTTCCAGGGAGGACGTCCTCACCGCCATGAAGGATTACCCCGAGGCGCAGGTAACTTCTTCTCCTTGTGCCTATTTATCTTTTTACGCTTGTCGTGGTAATGAGATCGGGCTCGCTCGCTCGCTTCTTGTTTCACTGCAGTTTACGCGAAATGAGATAATAAGGGTTGTGTGTTCTGTTGAGCGGCGACGAGATTGAGCAGGTAGGCAGCCGGGCGGACGCCCGTGGTAAGCGCATTGCCTACCTTCTCTACATAAGCAAATCAACTCTGCGATGCAGAATGATCGTTTCTCTTGAGTGCACAAAGAAAGGATAAAAATTTTAATATTACAGTGAAAAACCTTTAATTAAATTTAAGAAAATTTCAATTAAATAGGTACAAAATATTTTATTCCTAATTTAATTTAGTTTTTTCTAATTATTTTTACTCTGATATGATGAAAATAATCCAAAGCTTGTTTCTTGTTAAAAATCCGATGGCCTCACGAGTCGAGTTCTCCGTCACGCATATAAGAGTAATTGGCTCTGCGAGTGCCGCTGAATCGGCAATTTTCAGCCCCGAGATTAGTTGATACGCATCTGCACTCGTCAGCGTTATTCCTACACCATTGTTGTCGAGCCACTTTATATATTCCTCCTCGCCGCTTTTTGATCTCCGCTCACGCAAATTGCACTTGTGTTTGAAGGAAATCCTGCAGAGTCTTGGGCGCAAGCGGCTCATGGAGGCGCGGAACGTGAGCAAGAACTACAAGGTGGCTCGCTCGACCTCAAAACGCCGCATCTCAGGAGAAAACTTGTGCGTTGGAGGAGGCGGCGTTGGTCCGGCTGGAGACAGCAGTGACAGCACAGGCAAGAGGATCGTTGACAAAATCCGAAGCGACGTAAAGGGCCTCAAAAATGCGCTCAGGAAGAGTAGGAGAAGCACAAGGTGAACGAGAAAAAAATAAAATAATATCTTTCGAATTAATAAATACATATTTAAATGATTTGATTTATGTTTTTATACCAAATATTAACTTGTATTAATGTCAGTCGGAGCAGCAAAGAAGATTCAATCGAGCTGCAACCACTGACCAAAGATGGCAAAAATGTTGACTACACAAATCCCAGTCAAACTACTAAGGCGCCTAAACTTAAAAAATTGTTGCTGTAAGTTTAAGGAAAGTTCTTTTATTTTATGCCATATTAAATTGAATTTTTTTTTCCAACCAGACGTTCAATCAACGTGGACTCTTCGACGAGTCATGACAGCACGAGCGGCCCATCAACATCATCAGGAAGTAAGGGGGTCTTGAGACGGATGACCAGGGTGCACAGCGATGAGGCTGCGACCGAGCCTCAGGAAAGTCCCCAGCGCGAGATGATCGGCGCTGGACTGCCTCTCCTGCAACGTCTTCTTTTGCTCAAGGCCAAGGAGGATCGCGAGGAGAAGCAGGCAAAGGAGCACGAGGTATTAAATTATATAAAAAAAAAAACTAACTGAAAATCAAATGGAAAAAAAAAACTCAAACTATAAATCTTTCTTTCTCATTTCAACTCTTTTTGGATTTCAACTCTCGAGGTTTTTGTTATCGCTTTTTGTGTTTTTCACATGTAGGAAAGTTAATAATTTCGTTAGAAATATCAACCCCCGGTTCAGTTATTAGAATATCAGCTAGACAATATGACACGCGTTGGCACCCTATTTCATTATAAAACTGATTGGGGATATCAATTAGGCTCAATAATATGTTGCAGTTTTCACCATTTGTGTTTTGGCAAACCAGTGTAATAGAATAATAATTTAGGATTCAAAATAGTTTCCAAAATCATTAAATCTGTAGAATCTTCATTGTTGTAAAACCACTAAAATTTAACAATCACCAAAGTCAAGAAAGTAACTTTCCTGTGTGTCCAGATAAATTTAATGTTTCTTTGCTTCTTCTACATTAATAAAGGCAGAAATGTTTTAGCAAGGCACTTGCAATTAGGTGATTATAATTTTTTTGTAAATGTGCATCACTCTTGCAATCAACACGCATAATTATAGTTTTTTATCGACATAAATAAACCATTATGATACTGTAATGACGTGATTATTTATGAAGTGCCTGCTAAAATCAATTTCTGTCGCTTTATTATTTTGATATTTCTTACTTTTGTTGCTTTTCTTTTTTCTCTATTCAAATGTATTTTAATTTTATATTTTTATCGTCTTCCACTTAAGAAGAAAAAAATACTTAGAAGCTCAGTAGCACAAAACAAACACTCCTTGTCCGAATGTTGTCAGTTGGTAGAACACGCACCATGCTCCTTAATTTCAGGTGGTGTCTCCTCCTCCGCCGCCTCCAGCAAAGCAGAAGGTCGCCAGTCCGCCCTCCCCTTTGCCCCCTGCACCCAGCGTCGCCCCCTCGGGCTTGCCGCTGATCCAACGACTGCTCGCACTCAAGCAGCAGCAGCGCGAGGAGGCGACAAAGGTGGCGGCCGAGGCCCCTCCGAAGTCGCCTCCACCGCCTCCGACCACGTTGATCACCCCTCCGACAATATCGCCGCCCCCAGTAGTGTCGCCCCCGCTCCAGAAGCTCCCGACAATAATTCGCGCCGAAGAGGCGCCGCCGTTGCCTCCGCGGGCCACCGTAGAGCAAAAACCTCCAGTGCCAGCTCGCCCTCCACCTTTAGAACCTTCCCCTCCTCCCGTCGAAGCTCCCGTCGCCCTGCCAGTCAACAAAAGTCCCCCGCCAGTCAGAATCAGCCCCCCTCCGGTCAGAATAAGTCCCTCGCCGGCCTCAAAAAGTCCCTCACCAGTCAGAAAAAGTTCGCCACCAATTCGAAAAAGTCCCCCGCCTGCTATCAAAAGCCCCCCGCCGGCCTTCAAAAGCCCTCCACCACCGTTCGCGACCCCTCCACCTGCGGTCACGTCTCCACCTGCGATTACCTCCCCTCCCGAGCGACCCCAGAAGCCGAGTCTGCTGCAGCTGAGGCAGGACACCAAGTTCTACATGTCGGTGGACGACCTTTCGCCCGAGTACTCGGGTCTGCCCTTCGTCAAGAAGCTGAAGATTCTGAATGAGCGGCAGAAGCTGATCGAGTTGCAGGAGCAGCGGGCAGCAGGTGTGCTCCGCAGCTCCAGCCTCGACAGCGCCGCCGCTCACGCTCGACGTTTGCCCGCAGCGCCGCCGCGCCGCACCCGCTCCGACTGCAGCGTCCAGCGGCGCCGTCCGCTCGTGACGCCGCCCGACCTCGAGCTGACCCTGCGGATGCTGCGCTGCTGCGAAGACGGACCGTCGACGCCGCCCTCGCCCGAGAGCAACGAGACCGAGGAGCGCCGCAACCTCAAGTCCATCCTCAAGAAACTCTCCTCCAACAACTCGTCGTCCGAACAGGAAAGCGGCGGCGGCGGCGTCGCCGACACCGAACGCAAGTCGCCGACCACCTCCAGAATCGAGTTCCGCAAGTTGATGCGCGCGCAGACCGTCGAGGGCTACGCGGCCAGGCACAGCAAGTTCTCCAAGAGCGTCACCTTTGACCGCGAAACTCTGCAGTCGCCACCCGCAGACTCGACGGCCCCCAGGATAGAACCACCCCCTCAGCAGCCGCCGTCCGTCAAGGCCAAGATGGGCTTCCTGCTGCCGTCGCTCATGTTGACCCAGCAAAGCAACGAGACGAGGAAGGAGGAAGAGTTTTTCGGTGACATCATCACAGGGATGAAACAAGTTATTCAAAACCACCTGGTGAGAAGAAATTAATTCTTTATTTTTCCACAGTCTTTTGAATTAAATTTTATTTTGAATCGCGTCAATTTTAATCATTTTGCTTATAAATACTAAATTTAAAACACAAATATAGGAGGAGGTTCAGAACAAGTTCCACAAGCGTTACCAGTCTCTCGAGTTGGAAGTGAAGCGGAGGGACGAAATCATCTCGCAACTTCAAAACCGAATACAGGAATTAGAGGTCAGTGTTAACCAATTTTTTTTATTAATAAAATTCTATGATGTTAAAAAAACTGCCTATCATCAGGGGGGTCCAATCACGAACGGCTGCCCTGAAAAGGAAGAGGATGCAGAGGCGGAAGAGGTAGAAAGACGGACCAGCCGCATCACAAGAGGGGGCAGTAGTGAAGAAGGCGACATTTCCGACCAAGAGGAAACTTTTTCGGACCAACCTTTCATGGTGAGAAAATTAAAAACTTGTGCAGTAATTAAATGTATTAGTATAAGTTAAAAAATTTAATTAGGTTTTAATTTATAAAATGATTTTAGCATCTATTTCTAGGATTTTATAATCTTTCTCATATATTTTTAAAATAATCATTAAATTATTATACAATTTGAATAATAATTTTTATTTAATATAATTTTATTAAATTTTAGTTTTAATTATTTATAAAAATATAATCTGTAATTTTTAAATTTTTTCTATAGTTTAGATAATAAAATATCTAATGTAGAATAATCTCTTATTATTTAACTAAAAAAACAACATTTATACAATTTCCATACTTTTGAAAAAAAAAATCATTTTAATTGAAAAAATATTTTCATTATTATTATTTCTTTCATTTCTATTATCACAATTCATTTCACAAATTTGATATTTCTACTCGATAAAATTAATTTTAACTGAAAAAATCAAACCTAACTTTAGTCATGTAAAAACAAAGTCTTAAAATTTAAATTAATGTTGAATTTCATAAATTTCTTTCAATTTTCAGGGACACGGCTCTGACAATAAAAATTTAAATTAATATATTTGTTACTTTATATTTCAGCGTGGTGATTCTGTGGACACTGTGATCTCACCATCAGGTTCTCCAGTGCTCATGGACTCGAGTGACGACGAGGCTGACCGAGTTCAATGTTCGTGGGAGGAACACGCGGCCGAAGAGACTCTGGAGTTGCTCGACCTGCCGCGCTCCATGAGTCCGCAGTCCGTGTGGCACGTCAGCGTGGACGTGCCCTCGTCCAGTTCCAGCTCCAACTCGTCCTCCTCGACCTCGCCTTTGTCCTCTCCGCCCATCCACAACCAAGACTGGGAAGTGCAAATGCTGGCCGACGAACTCGAACGACGGGACCAGCGGCAAAAACTGGCCGAGCAGCTGACCGGCCGCTCGCAACAACTGTCCCGCTCCGAGGTGGACATCCTCGACCGGATTCTGCAGGAGCAGTCGTCGCGACGAGGCAAAGTGGCCAAGAATCTGAGTTTCGACGCCGAGGGCGAGCAGAAGCGGAAAGGGGACGCACGCAAGACGACCAGCGTCGAGCACCTGGTCCTCCGGAGACGCCGGAAAGGGTCGTTGACCTCCTGGTTGCAGCGAAAGGACACTTCCACGTCCGCCCTGGGAAGGCAGCAGGTGTTGAACGCCCGGTCGCTGGAGGAACCGATTCAGCAGCCGGAGCGGAGGCCGAAAGGCACTCGCAGTTCGTCCATCGGCCACCTGCCCTCGGGGCGCAGCCTGTTCACCTCGTTGTCCCGCTTCCGACTGTCCATCCGCGGCCTGTCTTCGAGCAGACCCGCGGCACCGACGACCCCGGCGCAGCCTGACCCTGAGAGCGCCGTCGCCACCATCAGCAGCCAGACGCACGACCAGTCCTGATGAGCACAACCCGCACCCTTTTTAACAAGAAGCAATCCAGCATCGCCGTTGTCTCAATTGAAGAGGGCAATATTTCCGCATTTTTTATTACTGTGTAAACTTTAAAAGTAAAACAAAAAAATATCTCACGAAGTTTTGATTTTTCAAAAATGGTTTTGTGTTGTGTGCGTGTGTGACATTAAACGAAAATTCACATAAGAGGGAAATTTTACGCTGAATGAGAGAATTGAAAATTGTTGCTTCTTTGACTTTTATAAAACTCTCACTCTATCGTCGTCTCACGATTTGCGATTTTAGACAAAAGTTGAGTTTTATTTATGAACAAACTCAAAACAGAAAAGTGATGTGTGAGTGGACAAATGGTTGTATATTTAAACTATAGAGACGGAGTACATGAAGATGATCGCACACTTTCTTACTAAAAAATTATTTTTTAATTGTAATGTAAGCATTTTTGCGCAGGGCGGGAGCTGAATGTATGAGTCTCTGAAATGATTTGCTTTAATTATTTAATGAAATTGAAAATAAGTGTTAATTGGAAAATTTTAAAAAGTAAAAATAATCAATATTATTTTTAGTCAATCGGATGTTGCGGTTCATGTAAATTATGAATTTAATTAAATTTAATAAATTCCCTAATATTAAAGTTTTTAAAACATGTTACATTATTTTATTTATGCTTCAGAGACCATATATAATAATAATTTATTATGCGCCTGTGAATAGACAAATCTATACTGTTGAGTTTGTATTTAAATTTATTTTAAATTGTCACACTTCATTAAAATGCAATACGGTGCCTATACAAAGGAAACATTGTATTTCTGAGAGTGATGAAAAAATATGAAACACAAGAAAGGCCACATTATTGTAGATGAATAAAAACATAGTTGAAAAAACACCACGAAAATTATTAATTTTGTTGAGTATATTTAAATAATGTATATAAAATATTTGAGAAAAAATGTAGTTGTTGAACAATTGACTTTCATCCCAAAACAAAAAGAAAAAATCGGGTACGGGGAAAAATAATATATATATCATGTTGAACACCTGAGAATCGTTTTAAGAGAATTGCAATTGTTTTTTCCAAGCGTGGAAGACGCGAAGACATACTTGTTATACATTACAAGTTTCAAAGAGTAATAAAATTTAAAAACGATCATTTCAAAACAAACTTCAAAAATTTGTGAATTTATTGCATGATTATGTCCTATTTTACCAGAAACAATTTAAGTGCAAAGTGTCGTGAGTCGAGCGCCAGAGCGCCTTTCATTTTTAAGCACATAGTTAAGGTGCTGTTCAGAATCCCTTCAGAAGAATAAATTTGATAAAATTCAATCAAGATCAAGAGGTAGAAAAAATTTGGAAAAATAAGAAGCGATGATTTTAGTAAATTATAATTTCACACTTTGAAAAAAAATGTCCTGATCTTTCCCAACAAAATATGCATAAAATGAAACATTAAAAAAAATGTAGAAAAAATCCCAATAAAGTTTGAGGTGAAAATTTGATAAAATTTATTTTTTAAATAAATATTGAGTTTTTTTTTTTTTTTTTTTGATTATGATTATATTCAGCATGAATTCAATTGTGTATAAAGAGAACATCTTTAATTTAATGATAAAAAGGATAGAAACATGGAAGGACACGCGCGTGAGACCTGAAGCAGCTTTTTTTTAGGTATTTATTATAAAATAGCAAATATGTACTAAAAACTAAAATTTATAAAAAAAACGTCTTTAAATTCCTGGATAAGAAAGCAAGGCTCACGCGCGAGGCACCTCGAGCCGATTAATATTTTTAAAAGTTTTTGTCTTTCATTTTATGAATCTAAAATCAAAAGGGCTAAATATTGTCAAGATTTTGTCTATTTTTTTTTTTTTTAATGATCAATTTATCCACATTTTAAAGTTTATTTTATTTTGGCGACTTAAATTATTATCATCTTTTGATTTTATGTTTGATTTTCAACAATGCACACAAAGATAAAGAATGCAGTAAAAAATTCTGATTGTTGCCGTATTTGAAAAAAACCGTTATTCTGTGCAACAATCACTCGCTTTTCAAACATTCACACAAAGTTTGAATCCGCTGCCGGTGTCTCTTGACTTGAACTAAATCATGTCCGCGGTTGAAGCAATGAAGGTTCCGCGACAGGCAGCCGGACACTTGTGCCACGTTTTTGAGAATCCTGACAAATTCAAAGATGACTTGGACCGCATGCCGCACTCCTTGGCTCTCCTCATCGTCGCAGAGAACTCCAAGAAGCCAAATCTTGACGTCGACTTCTTGGCCAGTATGTTTCTTTCAATCAAAAAGAATACTTAATTTAAACCACTTTATATAGATTAAATTAGTACTGCGAGGCTTTGTCTCAAATTAATATCTCGTTGTCTCGGAACGTAAAATTCCACGTCAAGGCGATTATAGTCGCAGTTCGCAGTACTAATTTAATTAATTCCCGTTTCGAGTGGTTTCTTTGGGTTTTAAATTCTCAAAAAAACTATTTCCATACGTGGTGGAGAACTCAGTGGCAGCCCCTTAATTAATAGCTTTGCCGCTTAACCCATTTCTGTTGAAAATCGCAAGTCGCGATCAGCTTTCGGGGCGCAAAATTTTATCACTCCGGTTTTGCGTGGCTTGGGTGGCAACCGCCGCTCCCTGAGATGAGACATTTTCGTTTTGTTTAAAAGGAAGAAAGAGTCGGACAAAGGGGGTGGTTCGCTGGTGAAGGCCGCGAGCTCTCTTTTTTGTTCATCTTTTCTGCAGGTTTGCCGAGAAGCAGCTTAGCCAGCAGTCGTATTTGTGCGCCGAGAGCACAAAACACTACGGACAGATTGGGGTGGTTTTAAAGAATTTTAATTTTGGGAAATTTTCGCCCTCAATTAAAATTGTTTATTATCACAACAGGAATTTTTTACACCGGCTTTGTCTCAAATATCTCGTTGTCTCGGAACAATTCCACGTCAAGGCGATTAGTCGCAGTACTAATTTAATTATTTCCCGTTTCGAGTGGTTTCTTTGGGTTTTAAATTCTCAAACACTTTATAGATCGCGAGCAACTCATCTCGGACGTCAAATGCTTGGCCAAGGGCCGTGGGAAGTACGGCCTCCAGTTTGTTGACTACCAAGACAACATGGGAAGAGTCGACGTTGATTTCTTGGAGGAGGCTCTCCAGCTGATCGTCTGCCGAGGACTTGCAAGCCGCCTGCCGTATTACGTCCAGTATGTGATTCTGGTGAAGAATGGAAAAACTCCCAGCCCCCTTGACCGTTAATATAATGTTAAGAATTTTTTTTGCATTTTTTAAAAATCATTTTCAGGATTGAGAGAACTGCAGCATCCGCAGCAGGGACTCCCAGTTTGGGATTGGGACAAGAAGAACCAAGAGATCGAGAGGCGCCTGCAGGACCTTGGAGTGGCCTCGATGGAGGTGTTGACTGAGCGCCAGAACCTGAAGCGCGCCAGAGACGAGCTCGATGCCTCAAAGCAAGCGTTTGAAGAGGAGAAGTCCCGTCACTACTTTGAGCTGGGCGCAAAGCGACACAAACTCGAGGCCAAGGAAGCACAGGTCAGGGACGACGAGAGGAGACTCAAGCAGTTGGTGCCTAAATTCATCTCCAAACTCATTTGGCCAGCACAGACAGAAATTTGTGAGCAAGAAGAGCAATAGTCTAAGTACATAAAAGATTGTAAACCTATTCTTAAATGAAATTAAAAATTATTAACCTCAATTTGATGTTTTCGTTTTATCGAGATGACCAGCAGAAAAGAGCAATTTTTAAAATATCAAAGTTCCTTGAAGGATTGTGATTAAATTCCTAATAGCTTATGGGACACAAAGGAGGCTAAAACTTGTGGCAATTTAACTCAATTTAAATATTTATTTTGTTAATCTTTTTAGAGGCCTTGCAATATTATTTCCGGAAAAAATAATTAAATCTGCCATCTATTTTCAACATCGCATCTCAGATCCCACCAAGTGAATCGTCATACTTATTAAAAATCACCACACCTGTCAGTCTTGAAATCATCCTCTCTTCTTGAGCTCTTCCAATTTAGTTTTGAGTTCTTGCAATTCTTTATCCAGTTTGAGAACCTGAAATCAAAATATTTTATGCAAATTCTCAGAGAGAAATTTAACGAAAGAGCTCACTAGTTTCAAGATCTCATAAACTTGTCGCTACTATTGTGGACGTTAGGCCAATCTTGTAGCACAGGCAACCCGGCGTTTGGCAGTCTTGTTGGTCAATTTTGCTTCACTTCCGATGGGTTTCTCCTCGATTTGTACTCTGACCATATGAATCTGAAAGTAATTTACACTTAACATTGAAATATCCACTATGGGAGCGACAAAATACCTCATCCATGCAAAGTTTTGTGAAAGGATTTCAAGTCTGATTCAACCGTCCACAAGAGCAGGTGTGTCCATGACGTCCGACACAGCCTTGTCCACAATAGCAAAACTCCATCCGTCTGACTCGAGGGAGGAGGGAGCTGAATATTATTGATATTATTCAGTGAAGTCTTGAAGGTCAATCAATGTTCCAATTCAATGCTATTGCTCAAAATAGACTGTAGAATTCGGCTGCAAACTGGGCCAAAGCCTCTCACTGGCTTCGATGCAACGAAGGTCGAATAAAGCGCTCCTCGAGATGAGTGCATCTGAAAGACAAATAGTATCAGCCTGATATGAGCAACTTGGCACAAAATTTAAATTAATTTTATAATATTTATTTAAATGATTTTTTAAGAAAAATAAATTAAATAAAATTATATAAGTTTAAATTTTAACCTTTAAACTACAAAAAAAAAGACGCGAAAACCGAGAATTTTTAAAATTCATAAATAAAAAAAGAAGATTTACAATCTAAAAGAGGAAAGAAAATATAATTATTTCTTGTCATTCGAGAATCGAAACGCACGTACAAAATGTCAAAGTGCAAAATGTACATGTGGGAGCCGCACCATATAAATCTTGAAGCACCGGCAACCGCCGACGCCGACAGTCGCCATAATTCGGCACAACAACAGTCAACAATCGGCCAAAAGACCCAAAAGTTCGCCCACAAGCGTACTTGAAAATTCGCAATCAAACGTCAGCCTTGCGAATTAATTTGCGAAAACGAAAACAAAAACTTGACAAAAACAGTCCCAAAACAGTCCAACTTCGCACTGTTGCCAACAGCGCACAACTCTTACCAACATAATCACGCCCACCGCGCGAAATCCATATTTCATCCGCAAAATAATATGTATGAAATTATTTCTATTTTAAAATTGTAAAAATTTAAATTTTAAATAGAAACGAAACTTACTAAATTGAATTTCAATCAGATTGCAAATTTTCTTGACTTTAACCGATCGACAGATCAAAATAAACCCGCGCACCGAGCCAGCAGAGCCGAAGCTGCCGAAGCCTCCAGATCGAGATCGAGATACACACCGTGTATGGCCATATGTTGACAGGGGTGTTTGTTTCACTTTATTTTATAAGTGTTTCAAATAAAATTTTAAAACGATCATTTCAAATCAAACTTTTTTTACATATGTAATGGTCCTTCTTTACCGAAAATTGCAAAGTGTCATGTGTCGAGCGCCTTTCGCTGCAGTAGTATTTCAGTCCTCTCATAGATAGAACCACATTCGAAGGCTGAAATTAGTAAATAAAAAGAAAGACCGAGACCACCGGGTGTGGGTTTTAGGTCCACCAAAACACTGCATTTTTCGGTGAGTTTTTAAATCGTAGATTTGAACATTTGCTAATTTGAATATATCATATCAGATTTGAATAAAACAGTCCAGGTAGCAAAGTCAAAGAGGATGGCTGCCGGTGCCAACAAGTGGACCCGTTTCTTAAGGGACAAGTGGATAAACTACCGCTTCCGATTTGTACCTTGGGTTGCTATGAATATGCAACATAAGTAAGATTAAAGAAAATTAAATATAAATAATTAGGATCAATTTATTTTATTGGTTACGAGTTGAATCAAGCGCCAACACCATGCTTCTGTCATTTTAAATGTTTCATTGGAATAATTTTTTTTTTTTAATTTTCGCAGGTTAAAGGAAAGTGCTCGCATTGTGCCGTCTCCTCTGGCTGATCCATTGATTCCTCCTAGTGACATATTATCACAAATTTGGAACTTGGTTCCATACTTAATCCGACCCAAGAAGGCAGCCGACAGCTTAAAGACGTTCAGCGAAAAGAGTCGGAGTGTCCGTTTTTCTATATTTATTGTTTTGGCCCAAAATTAATTTTAGTCATAATTTCAGATAATGTTGAATAAACATGGATTCAAAATCGACAGGGCCCCGAGTCTTATTCCTGGAGGTGGAACTGGAGTTTTTGTGACGAAGGGCAAAGTTCGGAAAGGCCGACTTGTGGCACTTTACCCTGGCAAGTAAAGCACAAAAATAAATATTTCCATCCGAGTTAAATTAATTGAGATTTTATGATTTCCTTACAGGCACAATATACCGGTCATTTGAGCCAATTTTGTTGCCTTCAATCAACAACCCTTTCATTTTCCGCTGCCTGGATGGCACCCATTTAGACGGAAAAAACACTGGACTGTCCCGAATTATATTCAAGTGAAAACTAAATAAAAAAATTATAAATGATTTTACCAAATCCTCTTTTGTCATTTAGGTCATGTGTTGGGCGCGACAAAATGGGTCCCCTGGAAACGGCCGACCTTTCGTGGCTGACCAATTATCCTATCAACCCCTTGAATGTAGGCCAATATGTAAACAACCACACCAAAGGTATTTTTTTTTAAATGGGAGAATCAAAATTACATATTAAAATGGATTATTGCAGACTATCCGAGCAATGTTGCTTATCAAGAATGTGAGCTGCCGGATGGACTTGATCCCAAATTAAGATCGATGCTACCTTACATCAATTATGCTGGGGGCAAAGGTGCGCCGAGTAGATTGGTTGCGCTGGTCGCCACTCGGGATATTAAGGAAGGCAAAGAGTTGCTTTCATCATACCTGACACTTGTTGGCTCAAAACAATAATGTTGATGTAGAAAATAATAATTTGTTATTTTAAAAACACACTATTGAGAATTATTGTTGCATATCATTGGAAAATATGTGTACAAAAATTTATTTTAAATAAATAAAAATAAGGCAGCTAGTAAGAACTGGCGCTTATCTATTGCCCTGTTTGCCTACAATGATGAAGCCTCGTTATATTCAAATAAGTTTCAGACACCAATAAATTTGCTTTGACGCACCAAGCTGTAGTTTTGAAAGAGATTTCGAAGGTTAAAAGTCAAGCTTACGATTTGCTTCGGATCAGGGATTTTATTTTTTCTCATTGAGACAGACACTGCAAGAACATGGAACTGTGGAAGAGACGCTTGATGTCATATAGCATAGTTTGCAGCTACTTATTTCTAGGAGGCTCCGAATACGGTAAAAAAAGCAAGAATTAATCAAATCAGCCTTGTGAATAATTTATTTTTGCTGAAAGCGGTCATTTTTCCAACGGCATGGGAATTTCTCCAAAGTCTTGGTGTCCACGAAGAATATCTTTTAGGCATTACAGTAGCAGGTAAATATTTTTATTTCAACTCAAAATTTTCATAAAATATATATTTTGCAGCGTACAGCGTGAGCGCTAGCATATTTGGCGTGATAGGTGGTCGATTTTCTGACAAATACCCTTCCAGTACCAAACCACTGACGATTGTGTGCATTGTTTTGATGGTAATAGGAAATCTGCTCTACATGCTCGGTATTGGAGTGTGGAATATTATCATAGCACGATTCATTTGCGGTTAGTTTTTTACTTTACGAAAATTCGCATCAGATGAGTTAAAATTATTCACTGATGACAAATCATCAGGTATTGGGACAGGCGCCGGAGCATCACTTTTGGGCTACGTCTGCAGAACGACAACAACGAAGGAGCGAACATCAGTCCTTGCTATTTGCAACGCATCTAGACAAATTGGAATTTTAATCGCACCGGCCTTTCAGTTTTTTCTAACCCTCTTTGAATTTGAAGTAAGAAATTTATTTAATAGATTTAATATCTTAAATATTCGGGCTTTTTTCCGAAGTTAGGACCACTCAAAGTGAACCGGCTCAACGCAGCAGGACTCTTTATGGCCATACTTTGGTTTATATTCATATTTGTTTGCCTCTTTGTTTTTAAAGATGTGAATGAAGAGTGGCAATATATGAACAGAGTGGCAAGGATTTGAAAGTAAATGAAATTGATCATAATGAATAAGAACAATTTTTTACACAGAGAGAACTGAGCTTGGAAGAAGAACCTCACCACATCTCACTGGCCAATCCAACAAATACGGCTCTACTTTCGATTTGTGAATCTGTCAAAGCTTCCCCGATAGATGATATTCACATGACATCTTTGACTCGAGGTACTTTGCTTTTAAAAAGCTCCAAATACATCTAAAAATCTTTAAATTTTAGAAGTGATGAGAGACACTATAGTGGCCCTGATGGGGACGGTTTTCGCAATTTACTTCGCAGAGATAGTCGTCGAGGTAAATTATTCGATTTAAATTCTGTTTATAATTAAACGCTCCTTTTTAATTGTGAAAAGACATTGATACCTTACTACATGAAAGACTACTTTGGCTACGGTGATGTGCCCATCAGTTTCATGTACATGGCCAGTGGTGTCGAGTGCCTCACGCTGCTTGTGATGCTGATCTTTTTGAGTCGAGTGGTCTACGACTGGATTCTCCACCTGGTCGGGTTGATCTTGATCGCCATCGGTTATGCCGTTTTGGTATATTACGCGCCACAGTTCACACCTGGTAAATTATAATTAATTTTTGGAAATTATATTTAATTATTATGCTTACATAAAACAGGTGACTCGTCCAAACTAATTCCATTTGCGGCTGCTTTTCTTATCATCGGTGCTGGTTACCCAATAACGTCTGTAGCAAACGCCTCTCTCATTTCCAAGAGCCTGTCGGCAGAAGCGCAAGGTAAAAATTTGACTAGATTGGACTATTATTTTCTTTTGTTGAAGAATTTTACTATCCATGGAGTTTCAAATTGAAATTAGGCTTATCATCAATATTTGGGTCATTTTATTTTATCCAAAGAACATATTCTGCTTCGTAGATTAAACCCAGCTACAAATCAATTAATTGAAATATCTCACTAATAAAAAGCCAAATTTCAATTTAAACACCACCAAATTTTTCATTTTAAAACAGGATTGGGTCAAGGTTTGAGGCGCCTTATGTCCTATCTAGGACTGGTAATAGGGCCCTTGTGGGCAGGTGGTGCTGCTAGGAAGCCACTGCTTCTCATGGGTGTGACTTTAGCACTAACTGTATTTCATATAGTAAGTTGTAAATTAAACCGCTTACAAAAAATGAATGGAAATTTTAACAAATTTAAATTTCAGTTGCTGTACCTTGACGTGATGCCAAAGTTCATGAGGATTGAAAGGCTTGCAAAGCTGGCCTCTTCAGCAGAAGACACAGAGGAGACACCTCTGCTTGACCCTTCTCGAAATCAGTCTTCACGTTTTGATCCAGAATGGTCGTCATCACGTGAATATCCTGTGGATAGATAACTATATCAATAAGTGCTCAGGAGTTGAGTGCTGGCAGCGTCTTCGTGTTGATCCCAGGTTCAGAGAGACTTGAATAAATTTTACCGAGCCGCTTTTCCCATCAGTTATGAAGATTCTTCCAAATTTAAATTTACCCTCTTGAAAGATTTGCGCAAAATATTGCCGTAATTTATTAAATATAATTTTGTTTCCAAATGTGCCGCCACATTTAAACAATTTTGACCAAGATGATTTTTACTGAATTTATCTGATTACAATTTTTGCGCAAATCTAAAGCCGTGATGGTCCGAGTTAACAAGTGTTGTCATCCAATGCAGAAACCATGTAGATAATAAAACCTCAGATTGCAAGAAACCACGCGCACTTCTTAAAAAGAGAGAGGCAAAAATCAAGGTTTTCTTACCAAGTAGTGACCAATGCGTCGCGAAGCCAATTTCCCAAACGATGTCCAAACCAGCCGAGCCAAAAACATCTGCTTCTTCTCTACCATGGACCACACTCGAGATCTTCTTCTTTTCCCGCCGACACTGCACCTGTCTCCATTCTCATCAACAAGAACTTGCAAATTATCACAGCTAATCCTTTGGTGGCAATCCAAAATCCATAAACATTCAAGCCTCTCCAATAGTAACAAGAACTTAAAAGGTTTCTGATGATTATTATTTCACATAAATTGCTCTCAAAAATTAGTTCTGAAGTTGGAAATTAAATGAACTGGACTGAAAGCCAACTTATTAAAATATGATATGATATTAGATTTAAAAGATTGGTAAAAAGTACCTTGATTTTAGCATTTTAGACTGAAGATAAAATATAAAAATAAATAAATGCAACAATTTATCGTACATTTTGAATTTGGGTTATTTATTAAGTCGAACTATTTTTTAAGGAAGTGTTACTCCTAGACCTGTCCTACAACAATTGCTTTAACCATCAATATCAATTACACAGATGTGATTTCAGGACCCGAATATTTTGATTTCTAATTTTTAAACAAAATAAGCTGGTGAGACAAATCGGACAGAAAATTCCTGTAAAACAGATGTAGCCGTCAGAACAGCTTAATGCCATTGTCTTCCAGTAAGTTGATGATACATTCAATTTTGTGGACTCTCAAATGTGACAAAAAATAACCAACCAACCATTTGAGAAAAGAATCCATCCAATCCTTTGCCTCTTCTTCTCATCTTGATTGGTAGCAGGCGGTGTATAATTAGGAATAATAATAAAAAATGTTTCAGCAGTAGATAACAAAACCGAGATGGAACACTGTTCTGTCAGTCAAATATGGTTTCAACACAGGATGGTGAGCTTGAACGAAAACCAAACCGCAGCACAACTGAATCGCCTCTACACAAAATTGCAAGGTTGTAAGCGTGAGAACCAATTTTCCACAAGGACGAAATTCCGCAACCATAACAAATGTGAGGTGACTGCTTACCTTAGAAAAGAGTCACTTCCATGGTGCGGCCATCAATTCGAGTCCTGTTCATTGCAGCTGTAAACAAAAAATGGAAATATTACTTTAAATGTAAATAAAAGTCTTATAAATTATTATATTGTGACTTATAAAATTAATAATTTTTGCAACTCACTTGCAGCCCTAAGAGCTTCTCTGTGTGTACTGAAGCGAACAAAGCCCGTGTCTTTGTTTCTGATTTCGGCAAACTTGACATCGCCAAATTCCCTGAACTTGTCTCGCAAATTCTGCCAAGTGACGGATGGGGGCAGCTAGATTTTTATAATAATTTAATTAATTGCATTAAATTTTATTTATTTTCACTAACATTTCTGATGACGATAGTGTCAGACGGTTCCTTGTTGCCAGAACTAACCACGGCATCACTTGCTCTTCCTTGGCCAGTGTTGTAACCTGCAATGGATCATTGGAGCGGACTTTTAATGAAAATTGCAAACATTACCACTGCTCAAACCATCAACAGTTGCACCAAAAATCGATTGATCTGCGTTAATTGAAAAAGACAAATTAAGCACAATAGAGAAACGTATTATATTACATTGATAAAAAAATAATGTGCAAATTAAAACTTGAAACAAACAAAAAATGAGTAGAATGAATGATGGCTTGTCAATTAAAAAAGCCGAGACTCATTTTTATATGTTGAATTATTGTTTATGCATTAAATTTTCAATGTTACATGGATGAACTCTTTTTTATTATCTAATTGTTGATTCAAGTTGAAGTACTCTTGCAGAAAAATCTGCAGAGCGCTTAAAAATCTTCTATTTTTTTGCCCACATACCTTGGTTTAAACCTTGATTCCTGAACTCCATGTCGTCCATCCCCTGGTAAGGGGAACTGATGCCCATATTATCGTAGTTTCTACCGCCATAAGTGGAACTTGTGGTCTGGTTTCCTGAGCTGTAGCCTCCACTTCCACTGTTCACTCCCTGCGAGCCACTTCCATAGCGGTCACTGCTACTTCCATTGCTGTTGCTTGTGAAGCCTCCTGTACCGGTTCCGGTGTTACTTCCGTAGCCAGATGGTGCAGAGGAGCCCATGGAACTGCCACCTTGAGGACCAGTGGAGTAAGAACCGGTCGCAACGTTGCCGGTGCTGTAGCCGGGCATGCCACTGTTGGAGCCACCCATGTTTGTTGTGGGCGCAGGTCCTGCCAATCCGGCACCCCCGATGACAGGGCCACCAGCCATACCTCCAGTCTGGCCCATGCCACCTGTCTGGCCCATTCCTCCAGTTGGTCCCATTCCTCCGGTGGGTCCCATTCCACCTGTGGGTCCCAAACCACCAGCAGCACTCAATTGGGCGGCCAACTCCGAGCCGGCAGCACCACTCTGGCCAAGAGCACTCAGGATGCTGCCCAAATTTCCGGAATTCAGACTGGCAAGGAGATTGCCTGGGAGCATGTTCAGGTTGGCCAATGGATTAGCGGGGGCGTTATTTGTGTTGGGAAAATTCATGGCTGGCATGCCTCCCATGTTTTGCATTCCCATGCCTGCTGAAAGTAAAAATGTAAGACTCGCATTTTTTTTGTGAAACTTTTATCCTCACCCATATTTGGCCCAGGACCCATCGCAGGACCACTCATAGTATTCATTGGATTGGCCATGTTCATGCTCTGGATTTGGGCATTCTGTACGTTCATCGGAATGCTCCCTAAAAACATCAATTATTCAAAATTAATTTCTCAATTCAGCTAAAACTTAAATGATGAATCAAATTGGGAAAGTTTTTTTAAATTTATATTTTAAAATTCCTTACTTGACACATCTGTCAAAGGTCTGCCATTTTCACCAAGTCCCATGCCAATTCCCTTCAACCCATCTGGAAGTCTAGGCAAGTTGTTTTCTGGCTTGTCATTGACTCTGTCCATTCGAACAATCAACGAGCGTTCGAACAGCATTTGCTGGTGCAGCATAGCTATACAAAGACAACAATTAAGTAATTGCAATTAAATTATTGAGATAAGAAAAAATCTTACAGATTGCTTGCACTGACTCAACAGGGTGGTCAAAAACAACAACTCCGTGCCCTCTGCTTTTACCCTCCCTGTCTTTGTTGATCTCGGCTCTGATCACTTTTCCTGCCAATGCAAAAACTTCCTCGAGTTTCTTGTCATCCACTTTGTAGTCCAGCTAAGAAGGATTTTGGGTGTAAATTTATTTTAATTGTACGTATTAATTGCATCATTACATTTGCAACAAACACTCTGTTGACCAAAGGTCCCTTGATGTCCAGGGACTCTAAGAAGGCAGGGCTGAGGCCGTAAGTGAAGCCCCAACCTTCTGGAGAACCACTTCGGTCATTGTTAGAGTTCCATCGACTTCCACCTCCGCCACCTCCACGTTCCTCATTGGCGCTCCTACGAGGGCTCCGAGCCCTTCTCGGCTCATCCCCAGTGTCCTCTTTGACCACCAATTTCCTGCCACGCACCTCGAAGCGGTGCATCTTTTCTATGGCCTTGCGAGCCAGGTCAGGAGAGTTGAACTCGATGACACCGGTGCCCTTTGGCGAATCAAATATCTCAACGAACGCCACTTCTCCAACTGGAAATTATGTATTTTCAAATGATCAATACTTAATTAAAATTCTGTATCAGAAATCTTTACCTTCATCTCTGAAGAGATCCTTCAACTCTTGCCAACGGAACTCGTACGGAATGTTTGAGATCTGAACACGCCGCTCGTGGAAGCCGCCGCGGCGTCGTCCGCCACCGCCGCCACCTCTTTCAGCGCTGCCGCTGCGGCGCCTCTCACGTCTTGGAGGTCTTTCTCTTGGAGAACGAGACCTGCAAAGCCAAACATTAGCAAATAATAAATTCAATCTCGTCTGCGCGCCGAACGCCGATCCAGATATGCGTTTTTACATACATAAAAGAAAATTTCATGCACAAACTTAAGAGTTTTTTTACCTGTCCCTGTTTATGCTTCCTTCGGAAATGTCCATGATGCCTAGTGAGACGCCTATCGAACGATTAAAGCGTATTTTCTTCTACGCTCCACGTCACAATTTTTATAAAAGTGCCAGAAAGACAAACAGCGAAAATTGTTTACCAAACACCGGTCTGCTTTGATTTTTGATATAAAAATGGCGGTGGCATTATAAACGAAACGAGGTCCTCGTAAATAACGGATTGTGATTGGAGGAATGGAATACAAGCAGTGCCATCTAAAGCAAATGATTGGTCCAAGGCACCTTTTCTTTTCAAAGTTTAAAATTTCGAGGCGGGAAAACTTTCCAGATTAAATATTTTTTGATAAAACATTAAAATAAAACAGATGTCGATATTGCTATTATTCTTGCAGCCAACAACTTATTAAGCAAATTAATTTTCTCTCACAAAAATAAATAAATAATTATTGAGTAAAAAAATTTTGAATTTTTCTTTCAAAGCTTCTTCAATTATTGGTTATTAATTAAAGTGGAATTTCATTGAAGAACCTTTAAAAAGTTTCCTCTTGCTTGCAATACATTTCAATTTAAATCTTTTCAGATTTTTTCAATGTTGCTACTTCATGTTAGCAAAAATTCATGCGATTGACGATGTTATCATAAATTTTAGAAATAGTGAACTCTATCGTAGTTTACGTTGCGTGTCTAACGAGAGGCCATTTTAATGCAGAAGTTCCTCTCTTTCACCGCACGAGGGCACTCGAGTCAGGCGCCCATCAGACGCCGGTCTCTGATTAAAGCTTGCGTGGAACTAGCAAATTTTATCAGGACCAAAAAGTTTCGACTGCAAATTTCTTCACATTTTCCGTCCCGTCGGTTGCAAAAATGAGTGACGGCGACTACAGATCGAGCAAAAATGACGTAAGTGCCAAAAACAAGGCGGCTGAGCGAATATTTCCTCGGAAAATCACATTTGAAAACGAGCCCACGCTCGCCGCCGTGTTTATCTCGTTCGTTCCTTCCCGTTTCCCGACCATTGATCATTTCTCATGAAACCTGTTGTTTGCGTTTGCGATCATGTAAAAATGCAAGCCACGATCAAATATTAAAACTTTGTACTTTCCTTCCTCTCGTTTTCTGGACCAGATGGAGGATTCCTTCCAATCTGGGCGATCCGATAGTCCTGTAAGTTTGATAAGCTTTTTTCATCTCAGACATTTTTTTTTTAATTAGTTCTCTCTGATTCATTGCAATTCATTAATTCCCTGGAAATTTCACAGCGTGACTACGGTGGCCGAGGAGACAACAATGAGCCTGAACAGTACCGGAAACTTTTTATTGGAGGACTCGACTACAAAACCACCGAAGAATCTTTGAAATCTTATTTCGAGCAATGGGGCGAGATCGTTGACGTCGTCGTTATGAAGGACCCCAAAACAAAGAGGTAGATACAACTCAACCAAATGGAAACTTTGAATTAAATCTTTACTCTTACAAAAGATCTCGAGGCTTCGGCTTCATTACCTACTCGAACAGCCGCATGGTGGACGATGCACAAAATGCAAGGCCTCATAGGGTGGATGGCCGAGAGGTTGAACCGAAGAGAGCAGTGCCCCGCCAGGACATCAACAAACCAGAGTCTGGAGCCACGGTGAAGAAGCTTTTTGTTGGAGGGCTGAGTGACGCAATCGGAGAAGATGAACTGCGCGATTACTTCACCCAGTTTGGAGAAATCACATCCAGCGTGGTCGTCACCGACAAGGAAACTGGAAAGAAGCGGGGCTTCGGATTTGTCGAGTTTACCGATCATGATCCGGTCGATAAAATATGCTGTAAGTGTAAGGATCATTGATATTACTCACAAGTTTTATTAAATTCAACGAGTCTTGTTAAAATTTGAACTTTGAGCTAGAAGGAGTCAATTGTAGGTGAAAATTATATCCTAAGGTTAAAAGGGTGGCTAAATTGCAATTTTTTCGATGTCAATGAAATCTTGAATTAACTTCTAGGCTACGTTTTAACATAGTTTAGACACTTTTAACTATATATTTGTTAAATTTATTTACTAACCAAATTAACTTATCATTAAAATCTTAAAATTTCCATCTAAAAGTTGACTTTTTGCTCATCTCGGCCAACACATATTCAAATATTGTTTTATCTAGCTTTCTTGGCCTTTTATATAACTAGCTGAAACTCGTTGGCCCTCAATAAATTGTGCTTGCTCTTTACATTTTTCCAGTAATGCGTGACCACACCATCTGTGGCAAGAGGGTGGACGTTAAGAAAGCCTTGAGCAAGGCTGAGATGGCCAACGTCGGTCGTGGAGGCGGTGGAGGCAGTGACCGCGGCGGATCTGGATTTGGTGGACGAGGCGGCGGTGGCAGCATGATGGGCGGCCGTGGAGGCAGCGGATGCGGCCCTTGGGGTAACCGCGGAGGCATGGGAGGCGGCGGGGGCCAGTGGTCCAACGGAGGTGGCGGTGGATTCGGAGGCGGCGGAGGTGGCTACGGAGGAGGAGGAGGCGGAAATTACAATGGAGGTGGGGGAGGCGGCTACGGCGGCAGCAGTGGCGGAAGCAGTGGTTTTGGAGGAGGTAAGATAACAAGTTAGTTGGATTGATTTTTTAGGGTCAAACTAAGTGTTGTCGGCCTTTGCCCATTATTGATGGTTCTGATTTTAAATTGAAATTTCATTTTAGGTCCTCAGGGCAATGTCTGGGGTAACCAAGGCGGTGGTGGCGGAGGAGGAGGCGGAAACTGGGGCAACCAGGGAGGCATGGGTAGCCAAGGAGGCAGTGGAGGAGGATGGAACCAAGGCGGTGGTGGTGGAGGCTATCACGGAGGTGGAAACCAAGGTAAAATATTGATTTTTATTTAAATTTGTTGCTGGAATTTTCAAAATTTGTTCTAGGATGGAGTGGCGGTGGCAGTGGAGGCAGCGACCACGGAAACTTCAGTCACTATGGAGGAAGCCAACACAGTGGTGGAGGTGGCTACAACAGCAGTGGAGGTGGAAGCAGCGGAGGTGGCCCAATGCGAGGTGGAAACTACATGGGAGGAAGACCTGGCCCGTATTCGAGTGGTAAATTTTTTAATTGAAAGAAATTCCCAACTCGCAGACTAATAATGGACCTCCAATTTTTGATTCTACAGGAGGGGGTGGTGGAGGTGGCTACGGAGGTGGCAGTGGGGGCGGAGGCCGCAGATTTTAAACTCGATCCCCGATTTTTGATGGTAAGTTTAACTTGAGCTGAGAGAATTTGATTGGAAAACAGGAGAGGTTCCACACATTTTTATTTCTTAAATCAATTTTAATTGATGACAATTCTTTATGTGGGGATAGGTTTATTAAGGATGAGAGACAGTGAGACGATGAGGCAGAATAGTGGTCTTTTAGCTAGCTAGCTAACCAGGATAGCTAGAGACAGTTCTCCTACCAATGTCTTCTTCACCACCAAATGTACAAGATCCATTCGTTGGTTCTCCATAGGAGTTAACTAAATCATCAAAATCAATACAATATTTGAGGGGAGTGTATCAAATAACTGAACTAATTCGAAACGATCAATTGCCTAAAATTGCATGTAGGTAAACAATTTTTGATCCAGTGACTTACATTTTTAATGTTTTAAATTTGAGAGTTCACATTTTGCTTCATGTGCCGCAGTGATTTTAAAATCATTTGTGTAGATTCAATGACATCTTGATGTTTTGTTGTGCCAGCTTCCCCACATATTGCATTTGAAGGGTGGTTTTAATTTTCTGTTATACTTATAAGTCGTAAACTAAGGCCCTAAAACATGTGTACTCCAACATTTAAAAGTTACCACAGCAGAATTCAACCTAAAACGGGGGTTCCCTTTAAGTGTAGGACTTGATTGGCGACACTGGGGGTTATAATTTTGTGGTGGAAACTTTTAAAGATCAGGAAACATTCATACACGTTCGCGTGTATTAGGAATATGTATAACCGTAATTATTTAAGTTGCTAAAGTAATATCGTACTACACTGTCAAATTTTCAATGTGAAAGGGAATAAATAAGGACGTGACAAATGAAAGGATTTAGTGGATTTGTGTTGAATACATCACCGTTAATATTGAGGCAGAGGTAGATTTGCAGATAATTTACAGGTTTCTTATCTAGTGGCAGGCAAGTAATAACCAAAAAATTTATATCCATTAGGCTTTGTATTTTTAAGACAAAATTAGCAATTTCATATTCAAATCACTAATTCAAGTTAAATTGATTTATTCCAGCTAATTTTTATTAAACGAGTAATTTTGAAATCAGACTAAAAGTTTTAAATTCAATAGCCAGCTTTTAATTAATAGATAATATTTTAATAAAAGTCTATTTTCAGGTAAATCCAAGGTGAAAGCTGTGAAAAGAAGAATTGACTTCTTAAGAGACTGACTCTGTTCATGACTGATATTTAAATTATTTTGCGCCAGAAGTACGAAAATAATACTTAATATACATTTTTTTAAATAAATTTTCCATAAAATGAAGTATATTCAAATGTGTTTAAATTAATACATTTTACAAGATTATTTATTAGCCTGTAAAAAATTGTTTTCTGAACTCTTTTTGTTATATCTCCAAATTTCTCAATGAAAGTAAATTTGATAAAGTCTGAATAAGGTTACGAACATGAGAAATAAATTCTGAAGCAGTCACAAAGTTAGTCATTAACGTAATAAAAATCAGAAGAAATATAAAAATCATCTCTGACCGATATAACTTTATTTGTAAACATTGTTAAGTTCATATATTAAACTGAGTTAAATATTAAATAATGGTGATTAGCAGCGGTACACGAGTCACTCAGCCATTATTGATTGAACTCGTTAGAAATCCATGTTTAATTTGTGATTTGTACACATTCTTTTTTTGTTCTTTTCATAAACTACAAAAAAAGGGAAGTTACGTAGGCAGCACGTGACTCGATTCGGCGACTATGATTGGCTGATCGATCGGAGCGCAGGCGCACCGACACGAATCCCGTTACTTGTGGGTTTTGGCTCAGCGCTTGGCTCGGTGAGAAAATTGTTGACAGAGGAGAACCTTTAATGTTGCGGTGGCAGGAAAACACGAATTTTTGCATAGAATAAGTCGTCAAACAAGGATATTTAGGTAAGAGACTTAATCAGCATAAATTTTGCATGCGTCCGAGAGTAAAATTCGCGGCGGGGCTGGCCGAAAATTCGCCACACGGGTGAAAACAGTGCTGGAATCGACCTTCGAAGCCGCTTGCCCCGCCGACGGTGACGCCAAGGCCCAGAGGCCCACTTGCGATCCGTGGATTTTTGTTTTCTCGTCGAAAATTTACTCATTCCGGTCCGATTTTTAGTTAAATCATGCAATTTTGGTCTGGAATCGGAATTTTCTCCAAAAAAATGACCAGGGGGCCCCGTAAATGCATTGCCCGCGATTCCCGTGGAACTTTCCATTCGGCGTACCCAAATGGCGGCTCGGAGACCCCGGATGGGGCTCAATCAAATGGCGGCCGGCGGTCGTTCGATATCCTTGCTGACATGGCTCCGGATCCTGAGCCCATTAGTGGGGAGCCCACTTTGTGACGTTTTCATCACAAGTTATTCGCCCTGAACCGACGGGGTTGCATTAGCCCAATACGTATTTCTATTAAATATGATCAAATTAAAATTATTTGAGCGAAATAAAACCAAACTTCACTTCATTTCAAATGATTTAAAAAAATTACGCTCATTTACTTTTTTTATTGGAATTTTTGATAAAAGTAAACATGGTGGATGTAATTTTTATTTGTTTAATTTTTGTGTTTTAGCCACCATGGCGAGTCAACAGTACTCGTTACGATGGAACAACTACGTACGGCACATGACAAGTGCGTTTGAATCTCTTCGAAGTGACAGAGACTTGATCGATGTCACGCTCAGCTGCGAAGGAAAGAAAATCCCAGCCCACAAAATGCTGTTGTCAGCATGCAGTTCCTATTTCAAAGACTTATTCAAGGTAAATACAATTTTTAATTAAAAAGTATTCAAAATTTTATATGCCGGGCTATTTAATAAAAAAAATGTTTTGATTCACAGGAAAATCCTTGCCAGCACCCCGTAATTATTTTCCGTAATGTCACATTTGATGATCTCATGGCGTTGGTTGACTTCATGTACAATGGGGAGGTCAACGTTGAGCAAGAACAGTTAGCATCATTCCTTCACACAGCAGAGCTGCTGCAAGTTCAGGGTCTCACAAACAGTAACAAAGACTCTGAAACCAAGACTAAAAAGACTGCCAAACAACAGGTTGGTTGACTTTTTAAATATAATTTGAAATTTTACTAAAATTTCGTGTTTGCAGGATGAAAGAGTACCTGCCCCTGAAGTTCAGTTTGACGAGGACGGTCATCCGTCGCCGTATCAATCTGACGAAAGAACATCAACCCCTACCAGAACAACAGGGCCGCCAGCGGCAAAGAAGAGAAAATGGCAATCACCCTCAAGAACGGCTAGCCCTGCGGAAGTACAAGCAATACCGCAAGGTAAATAATCATTTTTTACTATTTATTGAATATAAAAAAAAAAATATGAAATTGACAGGTGCTAGCTCGGGTGGTGAAGGGGAGGAAGGAGAACCACACCAAATGGAAGACGTGCCTTTGAAAACTGAAGCCGCTGAGTATGAGGACGACGATGATGAGCAAGCTTCGGGTGCTGATGACATAGTAGAAGAGCAGGAGAGCATCATTGCCAAAATCCAGAAAAGTGATCAATTAATTTTAACCACCTCAACAAGTAGAAGCAGAGCGTCCAACTCTGACCACTCTTTGTTTGGTGGCAATGTTATGGATATGTTATCAACTTCTGAATCTGGTAATTTATTTCAATTTTTTGGCTTTGGAAAAGTGCTCATGGGAACGGTCTGAATTGTTTTGCAGGTGATATGGGCAATTTTGTTATGGCTGGACCATCAAACGAAAGCATGGGGCAGGAAGGAATTCAAGGTAGGCAGCAATTTTTGTTTATCTATTGGCGTGGTTCATTCCTTTTTTAACAAAATTGAAATCTACTCCTACTTTTGTTAAATTTGGCTGGCTCCAAAAAGAATTTAACCGAAATTTGCAAAATCGGAAAAAACGAAACTCGTTAAATCAGTTCCTTTTTACTGCGAGAGATACATTGTGGCCAGGTTCTTTATCTACTGGATTTTGGAAAAATGGTGTGCTGCAAGTGATTTCTCCTCCCCTTTAACACACCTTCCCATCACTTTAGTGCAGGATAAGGGTTTAGCTGAATTTTCCTTTTTTTTTGTAGCATCAGTCTTCTCATAGACACACTCTTCACTTTAGCATGCTTGGTTTTCCTGGATGCCAGTTCATGAAAAAATGGCCCCAACTGGGAAATTCTTGACAATTGAAAAACAAAAAATCAAAATTTTCTAAAAAAAAAAAAAACAAATTTGGAAACATTGCGAAAAATTGATTGATTTAGCTTCACATTTGATTAGAGTCAGGAATTTGCTTCTCTCCATAAGTAGAAGGGCACTGATTGATCCCAAATGAACCACGCCTTCTTCTGTTTTGGTGTGTGCTAGTTTTTTATATATTCTTTATATATACATGGGCATATATTTATATATATTTTCCTTACAAAAGTTCGAAACAAACTCGTTAGTTTATGGATCACATGTGACGGAAAACAAAAATTAGACAGTCAGGCAGCGAGCTAGTTAGGACCGAATAATTAAAAACCGAAGTGGGAACAAGTCCAGGCCGATTGGACTTGACATGCGAGAATTAAAGGAAAAATGGGTGAACCTAAAGCTATTGAAAAAAGTAAAAATTAAAAAAAAAATTGTAATGCGTTGAAGTGAAATGAGTTGGTTTTGTGTTCACAGGTTCCAAGGCCCACTCGTTTCACTCAATGGCATCAAAATTTATAACACACGAAGTTCAGGAAGGATTATTACCCCGGTTTACTTGTAAATTGTGCGGAAAGTCATTTAACCACCGTGATTCGTGTCAAAAGCACATGGCCATCCACTTTGGCACGTCCAAATGTTACATTTGCGGCTACGTGCTCAGTCGAAAGAGCCACATGAAAAGACACTTGCGGCACGTGCACGGCATCGCCTCGGGCGACGCGTTTCCCTTTAAGTGTGAGACTGGAACGTCTTAAAAAAGAAAAGTATACAATTTTTCGTGCAAGTTGCCTTGCTCTGTACATAGCGGGAATGAAAAGAGATCAAGCTGTGTTTTACTCGTACCAGCCCCTTTGTGTTAACCTTGCGAAAGACTTTTGCAGTAAAATAAAAATAAATCTTTTACACGATGGACAAAACAAAGAGCGAATTTATTTTTTCCTGAGACCGGTAGAACTTTTGATGACTTGGCATGAGGAGATTTTATAAAGCTGTGGGTTGGCCTGTTCGCAGACGTCGTCGTCGACTCGGGCGCACTCAAGGTCGTACAGAAGGACGACGGCTCGTTTTCGTGCAGTGTGTGCGACCGGCGGTTTTTGAATAAAAGTTCTTGCGTGCGGCATTTCGCGACCCACTTGGGCAAAACCACGTGTTCCGTGTGCCACAAGAGTTTCGGCCACGAGGACGCGCTCAAGCAGCACTTTGCCGTTCACCTGGGCACCACCACGTGTCCCGTGTGCCAGCGAAAGTTCGGCAGGGAGTTTTACCTGAAGGTGCACCTCGTCCGCGCGCACCAGATCCACCAACTCTGAATGCAATTAACTTAAATTTGAATTGTAGAAAGAAACGGGCCGATGATTAACCCTCTCTCATGCAATGATAATAAAAAAAGAAAATGGCAGTCTTAACTGATTCCGTGTGTTTTGTGGGTGTTTGCAGAATGCGAGTACATGTACGCCGCGGAACCAGACGCGTCGGCCGCCGATCTAAAGGTGATCGAGAAGGAGGGCAATTTTTTTTGCAGCGCGTGCGATCGCAAATACAAAAACCGCAGCTCGTGCGTTAGGCATTTCGATTTCCACCTGGGACGCACCAAGTGCTCGGTGTGTTTCAAGGTGTTCGACACGCTCGTCAACCTGAAAGCGCACTTTCCGTTCCACCTGGGCTCCACCACGTGCCGGCTGTGCGGCAAGCAGCTCTGCAACATGACCCAACTCAAATATCACGTGGACCACGTGCACCTCAAAAAGCGGCCGGCGCCGCCGTCGACCCCAAAGTGATCGAAACCGAGCCTTCGAAACGAACATTCCCCCGTGTTGACCACGCTAAACTCTGCAGAGATTTGGAGATTTTATTTTTATAAATCGAAATTAACAACCGTGATAGATCGATAGGAATTGTAAAACGCAACCCGCACCGCAGAAAAATTTCCGTTTTAGGATAAAAATCAAAGTAGATCGGTGCTTGTGAAATTTCCCAGCGCTCCAGTGTGATAAAAACATTGCATAATTTTTTATATAATTTTGAATTTGTAGAGAGATCGATTCAATATTTTAAAGATTTGCCCAATTTATTTTTGAATTTTAAGTGCGTTCGCCTGAATGAAATCATTGACGGGTTGCGTATTTCACAAAGTGAACAGTTAATAAGCCATAGTTTTTGCCAAAACTCTTGAGCCTACGAATAGCTATTTTTTTATCAATAAATTATAGAATTTAAGCTTGATTAATCAAAGAAAAGAATCGTATATTCCGCTTTTCTTGTGGAGAGAACAAATTTTAAATCGCAAGTCTGTGCTTTATCAATCAATGAATATCAATCAAAGTCGAGCATTTCCCAGCGGGGCCAGAAGTGACATAGCTCTAGTATTTTATGTATTGTGCTTGTGATGCAATGTGTCTACAACCAAGTTCACTTAACTGTTTACAGACTGGCCGCACAGGAAAGCTCGGTCCCTGCCAGGCTTGGCGCGGTCGCTTTGCGTGATTGAGCATCAGGGCAAATTCAAATGCAGCGCGTGCGATCGCATTTTTATGAGCAAAGGCTCGTGCATTAGGCACTTCGCGCTGCACAGAGGCGAGACCACCTGCTCGGTGTGTCACAAAGTTTTCGATTGCGTCGCCAATTTGACCACGCATTTCGCCATGCACTTGGGCACGACCACGTGCAAGCTGTGCAACAAAAGTCTGTGCAACGCCTATTACCTCAAGCATCACATGAAGGTTGTACATAAGCTGGTGTGAGCGCCGGCCGGAGAAGAGTTATTAACTTTTTTTTAGTTAGGGAATGGATTAAGGAAGACAACTATACAAACCTCGTATACCTTACTAGATCGTACACATACACACACCACTTACATCAAGTATACAAACAACCATGTTACTCTCAAGACAATTAAACAAGCAACCATGTAACCTCATTAAGCTGCCAAAACTGGAATGCAACTCTTTGTTAGTTAAGATTAATCTATATATACACATACATTGAATATTATACAAACACACACAAATATGCATACAGACTTTATTATTTTACGCGTAGGAAAGCGGCGATTCTTTTTTTGCTGACTTCATCGATTATTTTATCAAGTTTTATTTTTTTATTATTAGTATTTTATAGTTTATTGAAGAGAACAATAAATAATACGATTAAATAAACAAAATGGCGATTCGTTTCAACTCTGATTTCCCTAGTTTAAAAAAGAAAATATTATTGAAAAATCACGCAAAAGACACGTGAAAATTTAAGGGTTTGGATATTATTTGATAATGTTGGGCTTTTTCATTCAAGGAAATGAAGAAAAGAAATTAGGATTTTCCTGGATGTAAAATTTGTTTTTATTAAAAACCAAAACGGCCCTACCAGTTTTAGTCACGGACTGCGACCCTATTTCATGAGCAAGAAAAATACTAAAAAAAAGCAGCACAGTTTAAAAATACTGAAAAATTTGCTGATTTTTTTTTTTGTATTTTTATTGCTCTTGATATTGGGTCGCATTCCGTAACTAAAACTGGTAGAGCCGTTTTGTTTTTTAAAACATACAATTTTTTTAAAAAGGAAGAGCCCGATTTCTTCATTTCCATGATCATCTCCTTGAGTGTCAACTTCTTCATACAAATTTTTTGTTCTTCAGCTTTCTTTTATATCCACTGTAAAAAAGTGATTTTCCGCCTCTCAGCAAATCAAAGCGCGCATGACTGGTGTCCGGAGGGCTGTTTTTTCTCTCTCACCAATCAATCGAGTGACCTCTGACTTGATTCAGCGCCGGTTCTCTTTTGCAGACGCTGATTTTGAGGTCGAGTCGGGGGTGCCGAATCAGCTTCTCGTCACCGAGGACGAGCTTAAGATTGTCAAAAAGGACGGGCGGTTTTGCTGCAACATCTGTCCGAGCGACTTTTCGCATGAGCAGACGCTGATCAATCACTTTGCCTTCCACCTCGGCAAAACGACGTGCGCGGCGTGCAACAAGACGTTCAGCAGCGAGGCGAGCCTCAAAAAGCACTTTGCCCTGCACCTCGGCCAAACCAAGTGTCCGCACTGTTTCAAAATCTTCAGCCGCCGCGATAACATGAAAACGCACATCAAAGTCGTGCACGGAAAAATAAATGTTCAGTAATTTTTTTTATTAGACCGGTCCTAGTGTGAAAGTTTGTAGCGTAATTTTAAAGTTTTGTTTTAATTAGTGGCTAGGTGGAAATTCAGGAAATAAATCGTAAGTTTTTTTAGAAACAACAAATTGTTTCAATTACAAATAATGAAATGGTGAAGATTTTAAAGTTAAACAAGTAATCTAAAAGAACGATGATTTCAGAAATCACATTAGTCAAGAATATTCGTCATTATCTCGGATAATCACTGAAGGAAATCTTTATTTTTATATAGTTGTGATGGGAAAAATAGAATTTAAATAATTAGGATCATATGTTGCGTTAAACATATTTGATTAAAAATTTACAAAATGAAATTGACACTCTTCACTGCTGAAACAAAAGTAGTTAAATTTTGACAATCACAAAAATATTAAATGACAGGCCATTGATTGCAGAAATCAAATTGGATGGGTCGGACGACGAGTGGAACTCG